TTCGATTTCTGGGATTTTGTTTTTTATTTTGGTTTTTTGAGTTCCAATTTTAATTGGTTTTTTTTTTCCGATTTTGATTTTTGGTTTTTTTTTCGATTTCAATTTTGGGTTTTTTTTCGTTTTTGATTTTTTTTTTAATTTTGATTTTAATTTCTGTTTTTTTTTTTCCTTGGTTCAAACTTGAATTTATGGGTTTTTTCCCTTGGTTCAAACCTTGAATTTCTTGGTTCAAACTTGAATTTCTAGGTTTTCCTTGGTTCAAACTTGAATTTCTGGGTTCAAACTTTAATTTCGATTTTAATTTCGACTTGAATTTCTGGGTTTTTTTTATTTATTCTTAAGCTTATTTTTACCAATTGATTTTTTTTTCTGTTTTAATTAGTGCAGGTACAAATTATGCAAGAATATTGATGTGTTCATATTGTAATTTTTTTTATTTACGAGTATATAGTAATATTTTTATGATTTATAATGTAATTTTTTTTATTTATTTATAGTTGTAATTGATCTATATTGTAATTTTGGATTTGATTATATATTGTAAATTTTGGATTATATTGAAACGAATTCGATTTATGTTGTGATTGTTATTTTTTTAGTTGATTTAATTGTTAAGTGAAAAAAAAACCACAAAAAAAGGACATTTTCGGCACCGGTTAACCGGTGCCAAAAGGAGGGATTAAATTATTTTTTTGAGTATTTTTGGCACTGGTTAACCGGTGCCAAAACCTGTTTATGGCACCGGTTTTGAACCGTTGCCAAAAAGGGGGGTAATTGGCACCGGTTCAAACCGGTGCCTTAGGCCGGGTTTGAACTAGTGCCAATTTCATTTTTTCACATAGTGCCTAGATTAGGGGAATGTTGAATTTTGTTTTATTTTGAATACTCATAACAATAGTTACTATTGTAGGAACTTATAGGTACTATAACGCGGAAAAACACGAATCATATTCATAAAACACTTAATCCCAAGATCGCATGCATAACACACACGACACATAATCATGCCTGAATTCCACGTAGCAATTTAACAGGCAAATCAAGGAGAGAATAGAGACCCAAGCGTTGCTCCTCTACTAAGTCCACGAGATTCGAACAAGTCGTCCACCAATACAAGATTGGTCTAGTGAAAGAGGATAAACTGCAATCACCACCTTTATGGACAACCAACCACCGCACGAACCACCTCCACCACAAACCACCACCGGCGCCGAGAAGGAGGAGAGAGCCGTGAGAGAGAGAGGAGTTTGAGAGGGTTAGGTTTCGTGTTTGCTAATTAGGGTTTGATCAAACAGATCACTGAATTGCGTACTTCAAACCCTAGGCCCCTAGTCTATTTATAATCCTATTATAATTAGACTAGGGCACAAAACCCAAAAACCCTCCTTATTCCTCCCTATGGCCGGCCACCTAGAGTGATGAGATCCGTGATGGGCCTCGTCCTCTAATGCTCGAGCTAGGCCCTTTATGTGACCTTATAGGATCCGTCCAATTGGGTTTTGGCCTATTTTATAGCCCAAAGATCGTTAGTACCTCTGGCTATGATAAAACGACGACCCAAATGTACGAACTTAATTATCTCCATAATTTGATCCAATTATATATCTAGTAATTGCACACGTCGAAGATATAAATCCTTCAATCTCCCACTTGTCTAAGATAAGTGTGCAATATTCAAATTCCTTAAGTCAATATGTATCGATTTGATAATATGATTGCATCACATGTTGAGATCATATTAATCTATAAATCGTTTCTTGAAATCTGAGTTAGAATTACAAAACCAAATGATTACTGAGTAATGCATTTGAACGCGGCCACGTATTTCCTGAGTTCTCCCTCTTCAAGCGACTACGACACATTTCCTAATTTAATAGGTAGACTTATTCCAATATTGTGTCAACAAGGCTCCCACTCAACTTTTGAAATAACCAGGAAACACCTTTTATAATCTTCAGTTATGGGTAGACGTTTGTGTGCACCACAATCATATCATCCATTGAATGAAATCAATTTTCCACTCATTTCAAAAGAATCCACTAATATATCCGGAAGCTCTATACTTGAACTTCAAAGTAGGTCATTAGTTCAATAATGCATCATTCATGCATATCCAAGTGACTGACCGAGCATCACTATGCCCCTATAGCCCATGGAACCGCGTTATCCAATCACTCTTATATATAGCCCATGAAACGGAATATAGAAATCTTATATATAATTTGAGAGACGTTTTAACTAGAAGCCTCCAAAACCCCAATGCTCAACTCTCATTCATTTAGGGATTTTTTATTTTATTTTATATTTTTTAAGAAAAAAATAACTACCAATCTCACTACTTTATTTTTATTTTTTAGAGACATTTTAACTAGAAGTCTCTAAAACCCCAATGCTCAACTCTCATGCATTTAGGGTTTTTTTTTTGTTTTTTTTAAGAAAACAATAACTACCAATCTCACTACTTTTTTTTTTATTTTTTTTTATCATTTAAAAAAATAAATAAATCAATAACTACCCATTCACTATTTCCTTTTTGTTTTCCTCTTTGTTTTTTTTCAAGAGACTACTACTAACATTTCACTTTTTTTTTTTTTTTGGTACGTAGTACAACATATGACATGCATTAGCACGAGTATACAGTTTCTTTATCAACAATTCACTATAGTACTCAAAATTCCCAACATTTCACTTTTTTTTAAACACTACGTACTAACATTTCACTTTGTTTTACGAGTATTTTTTTTGTACATAGTATATAGGAAATTTTGACTTTTGCTTCCTCTGAAACACATACATTTCACTTTTGCTACATGGGAAAATTTTTATCTTATTTTACTACCTATCAATGACACTTTAATTTTTTAAAAATGGCTACCACTTAACGGAATCAACCAGAGTTCCGTTAAGTTAATTTTTTTAAAATAACAATAAAATAAAAATTTTAAAAATAATAATAAAAAACTAGCCACCCCCTTAAAAAAGCCCAACCACCCTCCCCTGGCGGCCGACGCCGACACCGGCAACCACACCTACCCCTTTCCCACACCTACTCCCTTTCCCCCACCTACGAAGCTCACCCCCCACCTACCAGCACCACCAGCCACACCCACCACACGCACCACTACCCAAAAAATTAAAAAAAAAATTCCCCACCCTAACCCTAAATCCGCCTAAGCCCACAGTCACCACAAACCCAACGCCACCCACCACACGCACAAACATCACACACGCACATCCACACCCACCACACACACCAGCACTACACGCACCACCACCAACACCATCACACACGCACAACCACACCCACTACACGCACCACCAAACCACCACTACCCAAAATTTTTTAAAAAATAATAAATTGATGGAAAAGGGTAAACATACCTTATGAAATCTTCAACTTTTGGTTTTTATGGTTAAATTGACCATTAAAACCCCAGATTTGGACTTTTCATGGTCAAATTTGACCTAAAAAACCATTTGTTGGTTGTGCCGTGGTCGAATCCGATCAAAAGCCCTGGGTGGGTGGCGCTGGACTTTAAAAACCGAGGAGAGAGAACGAGAAGGGAGGAGGGAGGCGGGAGGCGGAGATGAGAGGGAAAGAGAAGGGAGGAGGGAGGCGGAGATGAGAAAGACTGGAGGGAAGAGGGAGGAGGAGATGAGAGAGGAAGAGAATTGAAGGAGGAGATCAGAGGAGAGAGAATGAAGAGGAGGTTGGGTTTTAAAAAAATATATAATTTTTTTCAAAATTTTTTTGGTGGCTGACGGGGAGGTAGTTAGGGTGGCTAAGGAGGGAGTGGTGGCCGGAAGGTGATAGTGAGGATGGTTGGATCTCACTAAAGGAAATACTAACCGATTCCGTTAACTAGTAGCAATTTTTTTTCAAAAATGGCATTTGATGATAGGTAGTAATATAAAATAAAATAAAAATTTTCCTAGGTAGCAAAAGTGAAACGCATGTGTTTCACATGTAGCAAAAGTCAAAATTTTCTATAATATATGTCATGCATTAGCACAAGCATACATTTCCTTTATCAGCAATTCACTATAGTACACTAAATCACCAACCCTTCAATTATATGCATTTTTTAAGGGACTGCCCTCCAAACATTTTTCAATTATTTGATCATAAAAAACAAAAAAAAATGTACAACACGTTTTTGTGCAACTAGCCTCAGAAAATAACTACTTGCAACAGAACAAAGTATGTAACTCCTAGAGCAAGATACTAACTCATATGACACTAACCGAGTAACACGAGTAACCCCTATAACATCAAATGGGTAATCTCTATAACTTTGAAAAAGTAAACCCCATAATAGCATTGCGTGGCCACCAATAGGGCTGTACACCGGTCCAAAACCGGACCGGACCTTACCCGGACCTGAATCCTTGATTTTTAAGGACTGGAGACCGGACCTGAATCAACAGGTCCGGTCCGGGTTTGGACCTGAATAGACCTTATTATTATTATTATTATTTTTTTTTTGATTTTTTTTTAAATAATATGAAAGTGTTGACCTGTTTGGACCTATTATGGACATGTTTGATTGGACCTATTATGGACCTGTTTGGACCTGTTATGGACCTTTTTATGGACCTATTTAGACTTATTAAATAAAAAAAGTAGTTTTACCGGTTTCAAGTCCGGACTTGAAATTTCCGGGTTTTACCCGGACCGGGCCTGAAACCCGGAATCCTTGAATTTCAAGAACCGGAACCGGACCTGAATCTACAGGTCCGGATCAGGTCCGGTCCCAACAGGTTCGGTTCAGGTCGGTTTTCAGGTCCGGACCAGTTTTTGTACACCCCTAGCCACCAACATAAAAGAGTAAGACCCTGTTTTTTGAGTTTTTAAGCAAAGCATAGAATATCATATTTCAACATAGCATAGCAGGTGTCGGCACATTATTAATACGATTATTAATGCGCAGTACAACAGAACCGATCAATCCAAAACCGACCATTACAACTCGAGTCTAAATTACAACATTAAAATCAACTTTCCATATTTTGCACGGATATATCACGATTTTGCACGGATACAGTTTAGTATTTTTTTTTTTTGAAACACGGATACAGTTTAGTATAGACATACTGTACAGTACATAATTACATGGAGTAATAAAAAACTGATGAATGTAAACCTATCTGTCCTCAGTTTCCCGCTCTCTCTCCCGGTTTCCCAATTCCCATTGTAGCGCGCTGAACGCTCTCCATTGAGGCGACTTCTGCAATCTTTATCCTCCATTGAAGCAGCTTTTGAGGTAAACTGTTGTTTTCTTTTGTATTAATTGATTATCAATTTCACAATCTAGGGTTTATTGTTAATTTTATGTTCAGTATACTCAATTTAGGGTTATTCTAAATTCAATTTTCATAACAACCGATTTTGTTGCTAGAGAAGAAAATTATGAGATTATTCGACCCTAATTTGTTGGTTGAATCAACTTTTTGTCTTTAACGTTAGGATGGAACTATGAAATTGGACCTTTTCGACCAAAAATCTTATGATTTTTCGAGCCTAAATTGTTAATTGAATCAAGTTTAGTTGCTAATTTGTTGCAGAAACTTTAATGCTAGAATGGAATTATGATATTGGACCTTATCTCACCGGGCTCGGGGCAGCCGCCCCTCCTGCCATGGCTCAGGGACGAGCCTGGTTTTAGTTGAATTTTGTTTTTATGGGGAGTTTTGTTAAATAGACTTATTTTAATGGCATTAGGGAACTTGTTTTGAGTGGGTTTGGAGGAAGTATTAGGTCTAGAGCTTCTAAACGACTTATTGTTCATGTTTTTTTGTAATCATGGTTGGAGAATCTTGCTTGACTATGAGGTTTGTAGAAGAACTTGTGTTAAATTGCTGGTTAATAAACTTATTAGTGATGTAGACTTTTACTTATTGTAGTAGCTATATAAATCAGTTGTTCAATGATGCTTGTAAGTTGTAATCCAGGAAATTATGAAGCTATATTCCATTGTGAAAAAGATACCCTTCAATGTTTGTTAAATATCCTTCATCGTTGATAGTAGATAGTATTTGATGTTAAGTGTTGTGATACATCTATTTCTAGGTGAACCCATTTTTGGTAAAGATATTGGTTAATCTCATGTGTAGCTCATTTAGGTTGATTCTAATTGTGGAGTAAAGATTAAATTTTGCTAATATAGATGTGGAAAATGCTAGGCCGAATTGGAAGTTAGATTTTGGGTTAATTTGTTTTGGTAGAAAAGTGAAAAATTTGGGATTGTTTTATTCTGGTGTTTATGATACGGAAACCAGGGGACTACTCCAAACCCATCCCGAAAAAGAAATTCGGTTTAGATTCAGTAGTTTTAATGTTCTGGTCCAGAAAACGGTATAGAGGAAAATTCAATTAATCCAAATCTCCTCTATCTTCTTAGCTACTATTTGAAAGGAAGCTTCTAAGAAAAACATTAGCTCTACCAAATTCTTAATCTAGACCCTAGATTAATATGAAAAAAGTTGAGAATCAATAGCGTAATAAGTGGAACATATAGCAGAATAATGAATGCCAAGTTGTTTAGTTGAGACTAAAGAGTAAGTCAAGTGTAGGCCATGAGCCATTGTCAGCGGTGAAAGCAAAGAAGAAGCCAATCCAGGGCCAGGTTGTAAGGTGACACTATAATTTAGAATAGTCCTATGTCTCTTGTTTATTGGCCTAATTTTGCATCCGACCTCTCTTTGCAGAGTTTTTGAATTGTAATTTCACCTGCTAGTGGTCTATTGGTCTTACAACTTGTCCAGTTGTCTCTTGAGACTTGAGTCATATACGTTCAAAGTTGGCCCTTGTGTGTGTCACCTTGTTTTTTTCTACCTTTTTCATTTCCATGACGATTTTTAATCCCGTCACAGCCTTCCCTATGCCTCCAATTGTCTCTTATCCAAAATATAAGCATGCAAAGCTCTTAAGTGATTTTATTACATCTCCAAAATACATGTTTTGTCTTCACATGATTGCCAACGTAGTACTTTAACCATTAATATTTTTAATTATCATTAAGTTAATATTAGTATAAGTTATTGAAATATGTTAAACTGAATTTTTTTTTAAAGATATCAAATTGAATCTTTTTTTTTGAAATATATCCAAATGGATCTTTTTTTTTTTTGAAAGATATTAAAATGATCTAATTATATCTTTTATGTATATTTTAAGCGTAAATCACTGATGATAAGTTGATAACCTTATTAGTATTCATAGAGATATATATAGGAATTTAACTGTGTTGGGCTTTGTTATGTTTGTGTTGATGTGTAGATTGAAATATTACCTTTTATTTCCTTTGAATACATTTAGGAATTCACGCTTGCTAATGCATAATGTTAACTATTAATATCTCTAAATCTCTAATTATTTACAAGTAAAAATTATGTAAAAAAAATTATTTTGAAAATATCCATTTAAGACTAATCTAAGAGGATTCCAAATGACTTAAGGTTTTTCTTAAATAATGATCACCAAAGATAGTTAAAGTATATTTGTGAATAGTGTAAAAAATAGAAGTGTTGCAATTAAGTAAAAATGGAAGAATAAATTTTCATGTAATGGATATTGTTGTTCTTAGATGTGCATTCAAAACTATTTCAAAAAAAAAAAAAAAAAAAAAAAAAGATGTGCATTCAAAACTGTTAAAAACATAGAGAACAATGTTTTAGGAACGAAAGGGGTACATTTCTGGTTTTATTGTTCGTTACCACATCGGAAATGACCAAGTTTACATTAGAGCATGTAAGTGTTAGTGTGTGACTCTAGACACCTCAGAGATAAGCTGCTCTTGCAGATTGATGCTAATAATTTTGCAATAATCATGTGCAGTCTTTTTTAGAGCTTTTTTATATCGTAAACTAAGAATATAAAGTAAATTTACTGTTACCTTGGTGTCCTGCATTTCTCATTAACTTTCAATATGCAAATTATCGATATGCAAATTATCGCAAGTTTTGGGTAGGAGTAAAAATTTCGATATGCAAATTATCTGCCCTTTTCTAGTGTGATCCTTTTTTAACCTTTCTTAGTGCATAAGATATTTATATTGTAAACTAAGAATATAAAGCAAGTTTACTGTTACCTTGGTGTCCTGCATTTCTCATTTACTTTCGATATGCTAATTATCGCAAGTTTTGGGTAGGAGTAAAACTAGTATTGAAAAACTAGTATTGAATTAGGAATACAACTTTTTCCTAATTTTATGTGCTGTGAGTCATATGTGATCTTTCTTATCATATGCTATAATAAGTACTAATAACTCATGCAAAAAGGGGGTATTGGTGAATCTTTTCTTTCCTTGCTTTGTTTTTTTGGTAAATGGCTTGGTTACATAGCGTACTTTGGAGGCGAGGAATTTCTATTAAGTCCCATCATTAGCGGGCTTTGTTTCTCTTATGTATCTTTTAATCTAGTTATTGGTCTTGTTTTCTTATTTCTCTTTTTTCCCTAATGCATTGCAATTTTTAAAGCATAATATGTGACTAAAAATCCTTGAAGTTAGGATGACAAATGCTCTTTTTTTTTTACATGATCTTAAGATTAGTATTGCAGTAACCACTCCAGTACACGATTTGAAAATTTCCATTGGACAACCAACAAGTGTATGATACAACAATTTTTTTTTTTGGTTCATTAACGGAGCTCCACATTTAGGTTGTATTGTAGTTATTCTTCTATTATTTATAGAAACTTTTTTGTATTTTAATGCCTGCTCTTAATTAGGCTGCTGTTTGACAACCTATATTGAAGATTAGCCTTTTACTTAATTGCTGAAATTGTAGAAACAGAGCAAGAAAATTTTTGGGCATTGAAACATACAGTTCTCTTTGTTAGAGCTTCTGTCTATCAAGGGAAATGCTGATATACTACCTCCGTTAACCTTTATTTGCAACAAAGGGGGTAGCACGGACTCCAAGACAAAAGTTTTTAAACATGATTATTGAAATATAAGGGCATTACTTAAGTATTAATCCAATTTCTTTTTTTTTTTTTTAAAAACCCAAAATTAATCAAAACAAACCACCCAACCCAAAATCGAGAATAACCACCACCACCACGGAAACCCAGAATCCACCGAAAACCACCAAAACTCGGAACCCACCGAAAACCACCCCCACCGAAAACCATCACCGTCGAATCTACCACCATGAAACCCAGAACCCACCCCCACGAAACCCAAAACCCATCGTAACCAAGAACCCACTAATTGAACCACCACCACCACCACAAAACCCAACACCATGCCGCCCACTACCTACGAAACCAACACCACGCCAACTACCACCCTAGGAAATCAACCACAACAAAACCTATACCTAGACCCACGACATCTAGATCCACCTACGAAACCCACAAAACTTAGACCATCATCCACGAAACTCGTGCCGCCTAGAACCACCACACCCACGAAACCCATAGGCGACCTCCTCCAGATCTAGACAACAAATAGGGAAAATGAAGGAGTGAGATTTTGAAGATGAAGGAGAAGTGAGATCTTGAAGATGAAGGAGGAGTGAGGAGGATTGAGATTTAGATGATGAAGGAGGAGAGAGAAATTTGATGATGAAGGAGTATGGTTAGTGAAATGATTAAGGGAGTAAGTTGGTTAAGTAAGGGCAGTTTGGTCATTTCTTTCAAAAAAACATACTAAAAGAGGAAAAAAATTTATTTGTCGCACATAATAGGTAGCACCCGTTTATGGAAAATGTTGTAAATAACTGTTAACGGAGGTAGTATATTCTGTATAAACCACATAATTACGTAGAGTATGTAATCTTTAGATTTATTCCTTTGTTTAATTGAATAACTTGCACATAATAGGTAGCACCCGTTTATGGAAAATGTTGTAAATAACTGTTAACGGAGGTAGTATATTCTGTATAAACCACATAATTACGTAGAGTATGTAATCTTTAGATTTATTCCTTTGTTTAATTGAATAACTTGCATATCATGACTCTTTTCTATCATACTTTTGATTTGCAACTTATGTCTATGTTTATGTTTGTGAACCTAGGAAGGAAGTTTAGCATTGCTGCATGATTATCTTGGAAGGATGGATGCAAAAATAGATCAGACTGTGGAACTTGTAGACGTACATAATGTTTCTAATAATGACATCTCAGGGGTAGACTTGGGTTCTGCTCCTAGACAAGTTGGAGATAGAGAATTTGAACAACCACCTTTATCGCTCAATTCATTTGTTGAAGGTGTAGGTCAGCAGCTTGAATATGAACCTGGCTTTTTGGTGCCTGAGAACCTGGAATTTAGACCAACTAATGTTTTTCATGTTGCTGACACAAACATTGAGGATTTTCAGAAAGTGCAAGAACAAGCTGCCTATAATGAAGTTGAATTACCGGAGGAACAAGAAGTAAACAAGGAGTTAATTTCTAATTCGGCAAAGCCTTGGAGCAAGGTAGAAAAGAGTGCCAAAGGATCATATCCAAAATCTGGAAGTTTGATGATGGATCACCATGTTAGCTATCAGCTACCACCTGATCATGAAGGTAAGTTTGCAGTGTATGATTTGGTTTGGGGCAAAGTGAAGAGCCATCCTTGGTGGCCTGGGCAAATATTTTATCCTTCTGATTCCTCAGAAAAGGCTATGAAATATTTTAAAAAGGATTGTTATTTGGTGGCATATTTTGGAGATCGGACATTTGCATGGAATGAAGCATCAGTATTAAGGCCATTCAGAAACCATTTCTCCCAGGCAGAAAGGCAAAACAATTCAGAAGCATTCCAAAATGCTGTGAGCTGTGCTTTGGAAGAGGTTGCAAGAAGGGTGGAATTGGGGCTGGCCTGTTCTTGTGTATCTGAAGAGGCCTATGGCAAGATCAAATATCAAATGGTTGAAAACTCTGGGATAAAGGAAGAGTCGAGTAAGAGGGAAGGAGCTGATAGATCGACAGATGCAGATTCTTTTCAACCTGATAAATTTACTGAATATGTAAGATCACTAGCACTTTTTCCAACAAGTGGCGTCGAACGGCTTGAGCTTGTAATAGCAAAATCTCAGCTATTAGCTTTTAATAGACTTAGAGGTTATGTTGCTTTACCTGACTTCCAGTATTATGAGGGGTTGGTGGAACGTGATGCTGGTACATGTCCTGGAAATCAGGGGATGTCTATTGAGAATAAACATGTAGATTCAAAGACCAGAGTCAATGCTAAGACAGGCCCTCGTAAACGGAAACACAATTTGAAAGCTGTTGTGTACCAAAGGAGAAAAGAGAAAGGCGTGACTGAATCAGTCGGTAAGCCGATGTATGACCTTGATGATGAATTTGATTCACCTGAGGAAGATGATATCGTTTTGGCCTCCCCTACTGCTGGTGCTGGGAGAAACCCTGGATCCTTTGAAGATGATTTCGCAGCTCCTCAGAACACAAAAACTGTTTCTGTGGCCAAGGTTTCACATACAGCATCTCCAAATCCCCAGCAATCCTTTAAAGTTGGTGATTGTATTCGCAGAGTTGCTAGCCAGCTGACTGGATCATCAAGAACCATCAAAGGTTGCAGCGAGAGAAGCAATGACAAGCATTCAGATGTTGCTGATGAAATTTTGGAACCTCCTAACGACACTCTGACTGAAAGCACTGCGAAGCAAAGCTCTTTGGTTGAATTGCTCTCACAGCTTCACTTATCTGCACGTGATCCCATGAAAGGATACAGCTTCTTTAATGACATTATCAGGTTTTTCTCTGAATTTAGAAAAGTAGCTGTCACAACTCAGAGGAAAAGATTGCGCAAAGGGTCTAGCAGAAAAAAGAAGACATCTGCTCCAGTTGTTGGGTCCCCTGAGACTTTTGAATTTGATGACAGAAATGACTCCTATTGGACGGACATGGTTGTCCAAGATAGTGCTGAAGCTAAACCTGCTCGACGTAGTCACAAGAGAAAGGATAAACAGGTTATTTTTGGTGATCATGAGAAGCCCCTTCAACGGAATCCTAGGAAGCATTCCAGGAAACAGTTACATCATAGTAATCATGTATCAACTCCTATAGTATCAACTGAGGATGAGAAGCAGCTGGACCTGCCAGCAGAGCTCAGGTTGAACTTTGGTGAGATGGGTTCTGTACCTTCAGAAGTGAATTTGAACAAAATGTTCAGGCGTTTTGGGCCTCTGAAGGAATCTGAGACAGAAATAGATGTGCAAAGTAGTCGTGCTAGAGTGGTATTTAAGAAGCGTTCAGATGCTGAAGTTGCTTATAGTAGTGCTGCAACGTATAACATTTTTGGGTCAACTCCAGTCAATTACCAGCTTAACTATACACCTTTTGCTTCCTTTAGAAGTACACCCCTTGCATTGACTAATGGAATAGAGAATACAACTTGATGTCCTGTGAGCTCCATTCCACCAGGTATAGATTCAGTATGAGCTCTACCCCTCTGGCTTCCCCTCTAAAAAAATGTTGAGGTAGGAAAAAATTGTTTTTTATTTTTTAGATTTACATTGTCATTTGGTGCTCTTAACATAATTAATTTTCTGCAGTGTTCCTGGGAAGTCAGGTCCATGCTAGTTGGTGCTTTGCAGACTGACAATTTCAAACTGATGAACAGAAGGATTGCTGATTAAGAAGGTAACCTGGCTTTCATCTGGTTAACGGTATTACTCTTCCTATTGTCTCTGCTCTCTTGTAATTTCAATGATGGGGTGGGTTTTCTTGTTTCCTTGCCTTCAAGTTCAATGCTTAAGCACATCATGACAATCCCAGTGAGGACATCGTTGCATCTAACAAATTATTTGATTTTTCGACCATTTGGGTGGTTGAATGAATGTATAAAAGTCTAGAAGATAGTTAGGATCTAATCAACTCAATACAACACATTTAGTAGCTAGCTACTGCAGTGTCATTTCATGAAATCACTCGCTTGTTTGTCTTGCCCCCAAAAAAGCTTTTCTACAAATCAACTCACTGTAGGTTATGTAGCGATTGTCTCAAGGGAAACTTCTTATCTCCCAGAAGGCACTATAATAATGTTGTTGGAACTACACTGTATGAGTATACATTGCTGGCCTGAATGTACATCCCCAATTCTTGTGGCGTCTTACTTTCCTAGTCCAAATTGTGGATCGTTGGAAGGAGAATGATGAACAAACTGCCATCCTGGAGTACCTCAGTTTTCTATCGAGGATATATCCTTGGTAAGTACTACTTGAGACTGTTACAATCTCAGTTAGTTCTCTACTTTTTGCAATCCCTTGAAATGAACTCAACGTCAACACCCCAGTGCCATCTTTGATCATATATATATACCATCTTGTTATGTTGTGCATGTTGTTTTCTCTTATTTCGGGTCGTGTTATTCAAAAGACCTCTTGACATCCCTTTGGCAAAGCATACATATCCCATTATTGAATATACACATACCATATGAAACCCTCTCGCGGCACATATTCCATATGGGTAATGCCCATGTATTGGATCATTCTGTTAAATGCAAGTATAGTAGATATGTATAAATATATATTGCACGTTTTTTGCATCTACGGTCTACTAGTTGCTTCACTAGCTATCTACTACTCATATCATATAGTCAGTACTACGTAACAAGCACTACTATATGGTACTGTACTGTTTTATCACTTTGGATCTATTGGACCAAATTTTCACTTTAAAAAGCAAAGCACCTAAACTCTCCATTAGAGACTTCGTTTTCTGTTAGTTTTGTTTAATACTAGTATATAACCCACCAAAACCCTGAGCTAATCACAGTAAAGCCTAGGCTAGAACCTTACTCACCTTGCTTTTTTCAATATATATATATAAAAGAACCGCCAAGTTGATAACTCAAATTAATTGGGACAATTCCCTCAAAAACATAAAAATAAATGTGACAATGGGTATAGAGTAATTGGTGTAGAGGATAGTTGGTAGAGAGTAATTTGTGGAACTTATGTTTGGTAAGCAATTCCATGAATTTGTGGACTCATTTGTTAATATAGAGTAATGGAGATGGAGTGTGGTTTATACTCCGTATATAATAGTACTATCTCAAAATGAATGGTTTATACTTTATACTCCATATATAATAGTACTATCTCAAAATGAACTTGTCCTACTAGTGTTGCTTAACTTATTTGAACATGTGAAACTTGTTATGGAGTAGAACTTGTGTTATTAATTGAATTTGGGTAGCCTTATTTTTAAGCCGCCTAAAATTGCTTTGAACATATTCCGAATTTCTTTTTAATTTATTTATCTGAATTCAATAATTCTTGTGGTTTTGTGTGAATTTATTTTCCTAAAAAAATATCCTTTGGATAAAAGAAGTTTTGTTTTTTTGTAATAATGAAGTGATGTAAATGTACTAGTAGTTCAATTTCAAATGGGTACTGTTTATTTTTTTTTTTTATTTTTTTTTTTGAAATAAATGGGTACTGTATCAATTTACAACACTTCAGCGTGTCTTATTTTTTTTTTTTTTAATTATTTTTTAGGAAAATTTCAGCTTGTCTTATTGTCTTTAACTGGTCAAATACTAATTCAGAGGCTGTTTAATTCTAACTAAGGTCAATGTATGGCACGTTCACGGTTCACATAAATTAGACAGAATCCCATACCAATAAGACTAACAATAATAAAATCCCAACTCTTTGTAATTCTCCATTGAAAAAAAAAGAAAAAATAGTGATGCAAATTGTTTAAAAAATTATACTCTAAATGGAAATTATTCAAATACAAACAGACATATTAATTAACAGAATATAAAGATTGCATCTTTAACAAATTATCGCAGAATATGAAATTACTCCGTAGTTTTTACATCGATTTTGTTAGATTTGTTGTGCACTTAAAGTTGCCTAGTGTCTTACTCTTTCCGTTCCTTTATTAGAAGTCTATTTCTCTTAAAAATAAATATTAGAAATAGGCTTCTAGCTTCTAATAAAAGGATGGAGGGAATATTTGTTTTTTCTGTCATATGTTATAACATTGTATTAGAATTCCTTTTATCTCATCATGTATTCAACACCATACTAATCTAAAACACCCTCTTAGAGATCTCATATCCTCTATTCTAGTACTGTAAAAAAAAAAATACAGAATTTCCATGGCTGCTATTGTTTGATAAGCTTCACATCTCTTTTGTCATTGATGAATAATAATAACCCCTAACTACATCCGTGCGCATACACACACAATCCCACAACACTTTCACGACGACGCTTGCGCGCACACATGCACTTCCATTCTCGTCTACACCACCTGCGTTGTCTATACCCACTTTAGTGATATCTCCATTGTTCATACGCTACTATCCTTGTTGCAACTTTATTACAAACCTTGCTACAATATCGCCCAACTTTATTTCTAACCTCGCTTCAATTCATGCCCGATATCTTCCGATTGAGATCCACTTACCATGTTATAGTTTACTCCATATTTATTGATATCTCTTTGATGCAAATAAAAAGAAATAGAGGTAGTAAGAAAGACCATAATTTATTTTTTATTTCTTTCTTTCTTTATTTATTTATTTGAATAGACCATCATTTATTTTATTAAGGTAGGGAGATTGATGCTACTCGTAATTAAATCTCAACCTTTATTGTTTTTTTAGTATAGTATATGTAGGCCATACACTTTATAATGAAAGAAACTAGTTTTTGGGCTTGGGCGATGCCCCAGATTATTACATATAGCTAATCAATAATATATGTTGTAATTTATGATTCAATTTTTTTCTAATTAAATTATTGTTCATATTGTCATTTGTTATATATTAATATTTTGTGTTCAAAAAATCACATAAAAAATCACATAGCTTGGTGGTAAGACAATTAGTTCTAGAATTAAAGGTTGAACTATTTTTTTATTATTATAAGTGTATGACATGTAATGAAAACAAATGGAAGGGTGAGCCACATGGCGTTATGAGGTGGATGTTGTTAGAACCGTCTTTTAATATATTAAAATTAGTTTTTGGGCCCGGGCGATGCCTCCGATTATTACATGAAACTAACTGATCATTAATATACAATGTGTTTTCATTGAAAATGTATATATATATATATAACATGTTTAATAATTAGCTTAGATGGTTAAATAATCAATTTTACTGTAAGTGGTCATGTTTGTGAACTGACGTGGCGTCATGAATTGTCTGTGAAGTGATGTGACGCAATTTGAAAGAGTATACGTGGTACATGGACGTTTTTATAAACGTCTTTTAATATATTAGTATAAAAAAATAGGTAAGGTATAATCACCTTTAAATACTTGTATGAAGTAGACTTATAGTCGGCAAGATTCAACCTTGTGAGTTGTGATCTCAAGATTATATGATAAATCACAAATCCTTGCTTAGTACAAAAGACCATAACTATCATATAGAGTTTGAAATTTGGTTATTAACTGTGTAATTAGCAAAGGTAATTAGGTATTGGGACAGTTGCAAGAGAAATTGTCTCTAGTATAGAAATAAGTAGAGTAGAAAAGATGTGGAAAAGGTACATAAATCCCCTATAATTGGGACCCATGATTACCAATAAGAATGTTGCCACATGTTTGACAAAGGAAAAGAGGAAAAACATATGAGTGAATGACTTGTACCTATACCTATGATAATTACTTTTTATAGAAAGCCAAAAGCTGGATGAAATAATGACCAAAAGTCATTGGGTAAAATTCGTCTTTATGAAAAGCCTTGAAAAGAAATATGGGGCCATTAACAGGCAATTTACATTAAAGGCTGTTACTCAGTAATGCTGGATTTAATACAGCTGGTTGCTTCATTTACATTATTGTTGGACCCGTCGGGTGGAATAGTACGGACTTTTCACATTTGATACCCCTCCATGTATGTATAAACAGTACTCGGTACAATAACAACCCGAGACATGACTCGTGCTATATAGAGTATATTACTACTTCTTTCGTATTTAAATAAGTGTTATTTTTATGGAGTATTAAATAGACCCGTATCTTTATAAGTGTTACACATTCTTGTTTGACATACAACCTTTTTTTTTTTTTTTTTTTTTTTTATTTTTTTTTTTTAACAGAGGAAACACAAAACAAACAACAAAATAAAAAAGAAAAACAAAGTAAATCCCGACGACAGGCCGCCCTGGCAAGAGAATGAGCCTCTGCAATAGAAGTCCTAGGAACCTTTCGAATATGACAGGTAGCTAAGGAAGACACAATGACCTGGAGTTCCTATAGAATCCATATGACCGAAATATTCTCTGGATCTTGACTCAAAAGAAGACGGGGAATAATCAAGCAGTCAGTAAGAAGGACTCGAGTAAACCCTCGCAAACGAGCCTGTTGAAGACCAAAAAGGCAAGCAAGTAACTCCGAATGAAGCTTCGAGCTAGCCACACAAGCTTTAGCACCACCACCAACAGAATGAGGCGAAGAGGCCGAATGAAAACACCAACCAGTACCAGCCTTATGAGAATCCTTATCCCAAGCCCCATCAAATAACATAGTATAGTCACAACCGACAGTCAAAGCACCACAAAGCACATAAGTGGACTGTGGACACTTAAAACCTGTCGGTTTATCCATAGGAGAAACTTTCAAATTACGAGCACTCTGGCTTCTGCGGCACCAATCTGAAGCCAAGTCCAAAATAGAGTGTGGAGAGTAAACCGCCGAACGAAATCTAACATTGTTCCTTGTTAACCAAATCGCCTAACACATCCCAAAGAAAATATCCAAATTAAGCCAGTTCTTAGAGGAACTAAGACCAGAAATAGCACCCGAAAACCAATCAGGAAAAGGCATAGTGGTATCATGCATAGACAGAGGACCCCAATCCACATTACACCCAGAGGACCAGTAAAAGGGCAGTCTTGAAACAAATGAGCTACCGATTTATCAAATGTATGACAGAAAACACAAGTCAAATCCACTTGAATACCTTTTCTCGAGAGCGTGTCCATTGCAGGTAAAGCATTATGAAGAATGGTCTTCCAGGCTAACATCTTCCACTTAGGAAGAATAGGCAAACCCCATAGACGTTTCCACCATGTAGGAGAGAGCAATGCACCAGGGGAAGCAAAATGGTTAGATAAAACCTGTAAGTAGGCTGATTTGGTAGCAAAAAATCCATCGCGCGTATATTTCCAATAAACAAAATAATCAACTTTCCTTATAGGACGCTCTAGGCTCAGAATAGACATAGCAACAAAAGGGGGAAAAAGAGATCTAATGAAAGGAACAACTCCGACACAAAGGAAGGTCGGGCATTAATTAGAACCGAATCCTTAAAGTCTACCCTAACATTGGGAACCCAACAATCATTTAAAATACTAATATTACTCCCAGCACCAACCTTCCAAGCAACTCTTGAAGAAAGAACGGAGCTTCCCTCTAAAATTCCCCGACTACCCCATGAAGGACGGTTACAGGAGATAACCGCCTTGTGTTGAAGAAGAGTAGGATATTTAGCTCTAAGGACCCGAGAAGCTAAGAGTTAGAGGATTATGCCTTAAACGCCAAGATTGTTTAGCAAACAGAGCCACATTAAAAGACCGGAGATGACGAACACCCAAACCTTCCAAACCCTTTGGGAGGTAAACAACAGCTGCAGGAGCCATAGCCAAACCCCTAGAATCTTTCCCAGACCTCTACCAAAACCGTAAAAGAAGAGAGTCCACCTTATCACAAACCGTAGCAGGCACCTTGAACATAGAAAGCACATGATTGAAAGAAGCTATCAGAACAGAAGTTATAACCACCAATTTCGCAGTAGCCGAAAGCCGAAGAGAAGAAAAGACTGAAAGATGCCGCATCAACTTATCGATCATAAACTGAAATCTCCTGCATTTGCTCCGGTCTATGTCAACAGGAAGCCACAAGCACTCCCCTATGGAAGAGCGAGAAGTCATTTTAAGATTTTTCGAGAGATAGTCCCGGAAGTCATCAGGAGTATTAGAACTAAATCTAAAAAAGGACTTTTGTAGATTAACCATCTGACCAGAAATAGAACAAAACTCATTAATCACATCAAGAATATGATCACAAGCTGCCGGTGAAACACAGAAAAAAAAGTAGTGCATCATCTGCAAAAAACAGATGAGATATAGAAGGAGCCCGACGAGAAATCCGGAGTCCTTGAAATAAACCCCTTTGTTCATCATGCCGAAGCATCAAGGAGAACACTTTCATACACAACACAAAAAGGTAAGGAGACAGTGGATCCCCTTGTCTCAGTCCACATTTAGGAAGAAAGGATTGAAACGGAGAACCGTTAAAAAGAATTTGATATGAAACAGTAGTAACACACTACTGCAGGATATGAACCCAATATGGCGGAAATCCAAACCTACGGAGCACATCCCAAAGAAAATCCCAATTGACCCTATCATAAACCTTATTCATGTCAAGCTTCAAAGATGCTGAACAGACCTTAGAAGACGAGGAAGACATATATGAAAGCAGTTCATGAGCCAGAAGACCATTATCCGCCATTAAACGAGCCGGAACAAAAGCATTCTGAGTATCAGAAATTAAGGAAGGTAAAACCCGTCGGAGCCGATTAGTAAGACACTTTGCAATGCATTTATATAACACATTACATAAACCTATAGGACGGAACCGAGAAGCAGTCTCAGGATGGTCTAACTTTGGAAGTAAAACAAAAAAGGTACGGTTCCACTCCTTCAAAAGATAGCCGTGTGCAAAGAAAAACTGGATTGCTTCAGTAATTTGCTGACCAACCACCGTCCAATGAAGCTTGAAAAAGCCGAAGTGAAACCATCAGGCCCCTAGGAGATATATCACTCCCAATATGGAACATAGCATCCTTAATTTCTAAAGCTGAAAAAGGAGTCATGAGAAACTGATAATCCAACTCTGAAAGAGTAGGAATCTCCAAATCATCCCACTGACAAGAAGTAGGAGGCGCAGAAGAGCCATGGCAATTATATAACGTGGCAAAGTGTTTTTCCAGTAGAGACGAAATCCCTGCTTGGTCAGAAGCCCAAACACCATTCTCATCTTTTAAACTCATAATCTTGTCTCTTCGACGATGGGCCTGCACCGATCGAATTAAAAGACTAGAATGAGATTCCACAAAAGCATCCCAACGAACCTTACATCGTTGTTTCCAAAACAGGAAAGTCGTCTGAGCTCGGGAGATCTTTTCATCGCGTAAACACAAGAAGGTCTGACCTATCTTTTGCATCTTGAAGGTGTTGAGACCCTGAATTCAAAGAACCCTGTAAATCTTGCCAATCAATACCCCATTTCCGTTTATTGGATACACACCACGAAATCATATGGTGTTTCACCTCATCCAATTTCCTGGAGATCGAGTACATGAACGAACCAGAATGAAACTTTTTCCAATCAAACCCTATAATCTGCGAAACCTCAAAAAGACCCAAACACCAGTTCTCAATCTTGTAAGGGCTTCTCCGAGTATTAACTGATTCTCGCAAAATAATAGCCGCATGATCCGAGAAGAGAATCGGTTGATGGATAATAGAAGCATCAGGATGTGAGTCCATCCATAAAGAACTGGCATATCCTTTATCCAGCCTAGGGATGACAATCTAGTTCGGATCCGACCCTACTCCGCCCCGATCCAAGGTAAAATATCCGCTCCAAGTCCGAGAAGAAAGTAATCCGAGTTCGACTCCGTTAAAATAATCCGACTCCGAGTCGGAGGAGGGTCGGAGTCGAATCCTACAAAAAATCCGACTCCGACAAATGTCCGACTTTAACGAATTATCCGACTCCGACTCCAATAGATAGTGGATTATTGTGTGGGTCATGGTGGCATTGGGTGTAGTTGTAAAGGCCCAAATAGCCCAACATCTCAAAGTATATTGAATAATGAAAAAAAAACTCCCTCGGATTGGAGTCGGAGTCGGAGGTCGGATATTGAAGTCGGAGTCGAAGTCGGATGTCAGAGTCGGAGTTGGATTTAACCTCTGACTTCTTGTCGGGTCGGAGTCGGATTTAGCATAATTCGCTCCAAGTCCGACCCATTGCCATCCCTAATCCAGCCTTCCATACGTAGGATTTTGAATTTGTCCATTAGTCCATGTAAAGTGAGGTCCTGAGAATTTGACAGAAAGTAATATTTTAATAGTATATCACTCTCTTCTTACGGGCCTACCCAGATCTATTACAATATTACTTTTTTTTTTAATTATTATTTATTTCTTCTTACATTAATTATTTTTTAATAAAATATTAACTCTATTATCTCTCTTTTACAATTTTTTAATACTCCAATTATGCATTACTCCACTTACCTTTTGTTTTTATTTAAATTAATTAAATTGCTTAAAACCATATATCGGTTAAAGTGTAACACTTATTAAAACACGAATAGAGTATATACATCATTGTCACACATATGCTTATGTGGTGCATGAGACGCATGGCGATGCCATATGTATACATATGCAAATACGTGCATATGAACAATATGATAATCAAAATTAATGTCTTTGCTAAAATCATGTTGAATTGAATTAACTGTAAGGTTAATAACAGAGATTAATTGAGACTAATTGTTACACAAAATTGAACACAGGCCACCATATTTTGTACTTCGTAGAAGACTTGGAAACAAATACACAATAGGTTGTTTCTCAGAGTGCCAAGAAATGAGATTTTCTCGTCAAAATATCATTTACAGATTTTTTTTATTTTATTTTATTTTTTTATTTTATTTTATTTTTATTAAAAAATACATTGAATTTGATCATACATTCATGATGAGCATGATCAAGAAATAAATAGTTAATAGTCCATACAAAAAAAAAATCAAGTTTCTGTTGTTTTGTGGGCTACAAATTGTCACTCCAAAATCAAGAAAAGCCCATACTTTACAGCCTTGTTGAGGAAATAGTATTTACAATGGAAATACAGAAACATTAAAAATAAACGCCCACCGTGGGGCTCGAACCCACGACCACAAGGTTAAGAGCCTTGCGCTCTACCAACTGAGCTAGACGGGCTTGTTGTACATATTGTGACTAATAGTTTTATATAACAAATTACTGTACTAAAACAGTTTGAAAAAAGCAGCATATATTTAGGGGGAATAAATATTCCAAGTGAAATCTTATACTGTAAAGTGTAAATAATAAAAATGTTAACCTTTAGAAAATAAAAAATAATAATGTTTGTTCTAACTAAATCAATTCAAAACTCCAATTAACCCATTAATTTATAAAGAATCACTTCAAACTGTCATCATACATTCAAAATTATTCAGTAACTACCTTAATCCAACAATTCTTGAAAAAACAAAAAAAGTCATATGTATGTGATACAATATCTTGTACATTTGCACTGAATTACGAATACCTTCTAATACCAAAAAAAAAGGGGTATTCCATATAACAACATATGGATGATTTTCTTGTGAGAGAAAATAAGGCATAAACAGAGTTGGAGAGTTTTTTTCGTTTCTTAACAATAAACTAAAATTATCATTGAAAAGGGTTGACATAATAAGAATTTCAGAGGGTAGTTTTAAACTTTTAATATGCCTAAGATAGACCAGGCCTAGTTGGGCGTGCAATGTAGTATAAGTAAATAATACTACTACGAGTATAAAATTAAGTAGATATCTAATCTGTGGATCATGTGGACTAAGAGGCCCATTTTACCTCTAACATGTAAATTTTCCCATTTAGAAGTCCACTAGATTTAATCCATTTAAAGCATAAATAATGCAAAAATCCACACCTTATGTATAAATTGAAGCCCAACTTTATCACTGTTTGGTAAATAAATAAATGCTCTAACTATTGTTTTAATCTTAGCTTGGGTGTTCGCGGTGCGGTTTGGATTCTAAACCGCACCAGACCGCAAAAGTGCGGTTTGTAATTTTTTCAAACCGCACCAAACCGCACTTTTAAAAAAAACCGCACAAACCACACTTTTAAAAAAACCGCATCAAACCGCACCGCAAAATGCGGTTTGGTGCGGTGCGGTTTGCGACTTAACCGTATTTTATTAAAATTATAATTATTCTTTTTAAAACAAAATATTTATTTTATTTTATAACTATTAGTTTATAATTCAAATATTAAACAATTTTTGTAAACCTTTAATTAACTAATAGTCAAAGATTAGCTCATATATTTTAGTTCTTTTATATATTTTTTAATAAAATGTAGTATAAAAACGGAAAACTAAATTAATGTGCGGTTTGGTCTAAATTTTTTTGGAAACCGCAAACCGCGGTTTGGCAATTTTCAAAAACCGCACCGCAATATTCAAACCACAAACTAAATTAAAGTGCGGTTTGCGGTACGGTTTGGTCTAAATTTTTTTGGAAACCGCACCAAACCGCAAACCGCGGTTTGGCAATTTTCAAAAACCGCACCGCAATATTCAAACCGCAAAATTGCGGTTTGGTTTGCGGTTTGGTGCGGTCTAAACCGCACTCTGTATAGCCCTACTCTTAGCATAATTTTTTACCCATGATTTTTAACAATACATAATTGAATATACATAAAGGTCGAATTAAGAACTCAAAATGATGTGACTATTCCAGAATAGAGGAATATATTCTTAATTATTTTTTATTCATTTATAATCAATCAACCGCACTATATTTTTATACTATATATTGACCTTTATCAAACAAACTTTACTATTTTATTTATCTTTTCACATCCATTAAATTGTGTATTATTCCTTATGTCTCATACGACCTTATTGTTTTTCCCAGTTGTCCAATTTTACGGGAAATAAGATATCGCAAAAGGAAGTATATAAAATGCATTAAAAAGAGAGAAAAGTACAAAAAAATTGTGAGAAAAAAGTACGTGTGCATGAGTGGGGGCACAAATATACAAAGAAAATATGTATTTTAGGTAATTAAGTGAATAAAAACAAAAAAGGAATGAAGGCAATTTGGTCTTTCATAGTGTCCAAAAAATGAATTAAAATAAAATGGGAAGATTATTTTGATACACCAAAAAAAAAAGGTAAAAATAATATGAGATGAAGAGAGAATAAAACTTTTGTATGGGGACAAATTAATCAATAATCACTATAACTCAAGAGTCCAGAGTCTATCAGGATTAAGGAAAACTATATTGTAGAACAACTTTTGGTGGTATGACCATAACATTGGTGGGAAATGAAAGATTTGCTTTCTTTTTGTTAACAATGCTCTCCTTGCATAAGTGCAAATAAACATAAGATGTGGCCCATTTTATACAAATAGACATAAGATGTGGCCCATTTTGTTAACAGTGCTCTCCTTGCATAAGTACATTGAAGATTGCTGATTCAGTGATTTGATATCACAAAATGTCAAAATGTCTGTTATGAGTTTTGAGTTATGATGGTTGATTTAAGAAAAAATGTCCATAACTACTAATAGCACGTATTTTGAAAACAATTATCTTTTAATTTTTTTAAATAACTACCACAAAGTTGTAAAAACTTTAACAAGCACTACCACTCTTAACAATTTGGCTAGAATCTCCGGCGTTTGGGTCTCTTTTTTTTTTTACCACTTTTTACCTTTATGAAGGGTAATTTAGTCAATTTAGATGATGATTTCATGAAATAAAAGGTAAAAAGTAAAACCTACATATTGAATATTCTAGTCAGAATTGTTAAAATAATAGTGCTAGTTAAACTTTTTTTAAAATTGATAGTTCTTAACAAAATTTCCTTAATTTTATGGTCATTTCCCTCCACCAACATTTTAAGTGGCAATTTTCTCTAAAATTGTTGGAACTGAGCTTTCATACATTATTCATTTCAAAGATTTTTTTTTTCCCTATTTTAAATTAATACTATTATTTATGTACATGTTACAATTATTTTTGTACACATTATGACTATATGTTACTATTATTTCTACGCACATTTTTTTTTTTTAGTTTTTTTTTTAAATAAATTATTTTAGTCATAAATGACATTAAAAGGTGGGCATGGATTGTACCATGCGCTAGTGTGCTTCATGTTTAAGTGGGTTGTGTTTTAAACGGGCCAATATTTAGTGAGTTGTGTCACTTTGTGATCATGTCAATCTTTTAAAATTGGAGCCTATGGAAGACTCGAACTTATCAATTGCCACCCGTTATTGAAACCTCTTTATAATTTTCACATATTTGATTATTTGTTAAATTGGTTAAAAATAAGCTGGCCAACATTTGACCAGCCCGATGGTGCTTATGTCATGCTGTGTTGGGCTTATGACGGGATCATGCCTAATCGGACATGTTCGCGCCATGTCTAATTGACCCATGTGTCTTCCCGGTCCATTCCATCTCTAGAAAGACAACGTGAGATTAGTAGGACTAGAAAATATGAATGGAGCGGGGACCAAAGATTTCTATTTCTCAGAGCCTATGTTGTGAACTTGTGTGGGGTGGTATTTGGCCAAAAATATTCAATTCGTTGAGTTGCTTTCTCTATTTGACGAGGGTACTGCAATCCTGCAATAAAACGACATTTTCATGGTTGTGGAGATTTGAGCAATTGCTTTTTATATTTTTGAATTTTGGATCCATCTCCCAAA